CAGTCTACAGATTCATTGTGATCCCTATCAAATTACCAATGCCATTTTTCACAGAACTAGAACAAAAGATTTCACAGTTCATGTGAAAACACAAAAGACCCTGAATAGCCAAAGTAGTCTTGAGAAAGAAGAATGGAGCTGGTGGAATAAACCTTCCTGACTTCACATTATACCACAAAGCTACAGTCATCAAGACAGTATGGTACTGTCACAAAAAGAGAAATACACACCAATGGAATAAGATAGAAAGTGCAGAAATAAACCCATGCTCCTATGGGTACCTTATTTTTGACAAAGGAGGCAAGAATATACAATGGAGCAAAGACAGTCTCTTCAATAAATGGTGCTGGAGAAACTGGAGAACTACATGTAAAAGAATGAAAATAGAACACTTCCTAACACCATACACAAAGATAAACTCAAAATGGATTAAAGACCTAAATTTAAGACCAGAAACTATAAAAACCCTTAGAGGAAAACAGGCAGAACACTCGATGACATAAGTCAAAGCAAGATCCTTTGTGACTCACCTCCTCGAGTAATGGAAATAAAAACAAAAGTAAACAAGTGGGACCTGACTAAACTTAAAAGCTTTTGCACAGCAAAGGAAACACTAAGCAAGCTGAAAAGACAACCCTCAGAATGTTGTCTGGAGAAAATAATAGCAAATGAAACAACTGACAAAGGATTACTTTCTGAAATATATAAGCAGCTCATACAACTCAATACCAGAAAGACAAACAACCCAATCAAAAAGTGGGAAAAAGACCTAAACAGACATTTCTCCAAAGAAGACATATAGATGCCTAACAAACATGAAAAAGATGCTCAACATTGCTCTTTATTAGAGAAATGCAAATCAAAACTAAAATGAGATATCACCTTACACCAGTCAGAATGGCCATCGTTAAGAAGTCTACAAACAATAAATGCCGGAGGAGGGTGTGGAGAAAAGGGAACCTCTTGCTCTGTTGGTGGGAATATAAATTGATTCAGCCACTATGGAAGACGGTATAGAGATTCCTTTAAAAATTAGGAATAAAACCACCATATGACCCAGCAATCTCACTCCTAGGCATATATACCCTGAGGAAACCAAAATTTAAAGACACATGTATTCCATTATTCACTGCAACACTATTACAATAGCTAGAATATGGAAGTAACCTAGATGTCCATCTACCAATGAATGGATGAAGAAGTTGTGGTGCAGATACACAATGGAATATTACTCAGCTATAAAAAGGAACGCCTTTGAGTCAGTTCTAATGAGGTGGATGAATCTAGAACCTTTTATACAGAGTGAAGTAAATCAGAAAGAAAAAGATAAATATTGTATTCTAATGCATATATATGGAATCTAGAAAAATGGTACTGAAGAATTTACTTACAGGGCAGCAGTAGAGAAACAGACATAGAGAATAGACTTGTGGACATGGGGAGAGGGTAAGAGAGGGTGAGATGTATGGAAAAGAGTAAAATGGAAACTTACATTACCATATGTAAAATAGATAGCCAGTGGGAATTTGCTGTATGGCTCAGGAAACTCAAACTGGGGCTCTGTATCAACCTAGAGGGGTGGTTTGGGGAGGGAGATGGGAGGGAGGTCCAAAAGGGAGGGGATATATGTATACCTATGGCTGATTCATGTTGAGGTTTGACAAAAAACAGGAAAATTCTGTAAAGCAATTATCCTTCAATAAAAAAAAAATAAATGCTTAAAAAAAAAAAAAAAAGTAAGAGAAGCTGGAAAGCTGGACCAGTGGTGAAGGTTGAGTGTCAAGAGGAAGAGTCCAGTGTGGATGCTGTGGCTTCCCGGGACACCACAAAGATTTGAGATGCTTTTAGTCAGTAGCTTATTTGTTTTAAAATGTACCCTGTTTTTAAAAATGTCCATTTTGGATCTGAGAGCTTGGCAGAGTGAACCCTAACTGTAGACGTACCATCAGAATCCTTCCCTGCATCTGGTATGTCACACATGACTTGGTGATGGTCATTTTGAGAGGTGTTAGCGGGCCTGGGTGACTTTAGCCAAGGCCTTTGCCCACACAAGGGGAACGCACGTCATGAAGAGAGGCAGGGTGTGCGAGGTGTGAATGCCCTCCTGTTCTGAAAATCCGCCTAATCTTATCCCGCACTTGCCAAGGCCCCTGTGACCTCCTCCCCCAAGATGTTAAAACTGATACAAACTCACTAATCAGTCATTCAGCTCTTGTGGGCAGAACAGGCATTCCTGGGCTGAACTCACCTTCTGTTAACCACTTTTGACCTTTGAGAAAAGCTCTGGGTTCTAACAACTGCTTTGTAAGCTAATTTTAGAAGAAAACCCTCTGGGGAGTTCCCCGGTGGCCTAGTGGTCAGGATTCTGGGCTTTTCATGGCTGTGACCCAGGTTCAATCCCTGGTTGGTGCAGCCAGAAAAAAGAGTAAAGTTGCAAAAAGACCCAAATGGAAATCCAGGAACTGAAAGGTACTGTGAAATAAAATTCATATTTTAAAAAAAAGAAAACTCTTTTATAAATCGGGGATTGCCCAAAGAGCAAATGTATTTGCACATTCTGGTTAGGGAATGGGTGGAGGGTTGAACAGCCAAAGAGAAGCAGACGTGTGACAGGTTTGCACACAATTCTGAGTTCATTGTTTTCACAGGCATGATATCTTCCCTGAGAACTTGATTTTTCCCATCTTTCCCTTGAGTGCTGGTAGCTGTGGTATGAATTCAGAGTTTGCCATCCACCCCAGTGCCCCTGTAACCACCCCAGCCCCCCAGTTGTGTACAGGCATGGGGCTGGTGCTCAGAGGACGGGTGCAGGTGGTGAGGAGCTGTTCACAGCTGCGCACGCCATGAATGGCCCCTGGCCTCAGGGTCGGAGCAGCTTCGTACACCTTCCAGAACCCGGCACTTCTGACCTAGCTCTAGGTCAGAAGTGAGGCAAGGGTGGTGCTAGCCGTCAGAAATGGGTTTTGTTTTCCTGGGCAAGAAAATAGCATCTCTTCCTTCCAGGCTCCCCTTTCCTCCTGGCTCTGCACCTAGGGCAGTTGCGCCAGCCCTCTGGTCTGCCTGTCCTGGGAGCCCTCGCCAGTTCTGAGGATGTGGCAGGCTGGCCAGGCCTCCCAAGCTGGCCATTGGGAGTGAAGCCTGGGATTGATTCCATTTCCAGCTGGCCAGGGTTTGCCTCCAAGAGTTGCTTACTTCTTTCACGGTGACCCGCTGAACTGGCTGGTGGAGCTGGACCACATGTGCATCCTCAGCTTGGTTTTCTCACTTTCGGGGTTTGACCTTGAGTGGACATTGGCCTTCCGAGCATCCCTGTGTTTAACAGGGGTGTGAGTCATCCAACCTGGCTTTCGGCTCTGGAGATATGGGAGATAGTAGTAATCTGGGGCCCTGAGACTTTCCCTCCACAGAGGCCGGAAGACCTCCAGAGGTGGAGTCATTCATAGGATAACGGCTACTAATAGTAACTTTCATTTGAGAAGTACATATTTGAGATCATGCTTTTATTTACTTCATTTGATTGTAATAACCACTCTGCGATGCAGGTTGAATTGTCCAAGGAAGTGAACGTTCTGAGGGGTGGATGAACTCTAACTGATGAAGGACCCAGGTTTTGAGCCCAGCTAGTCTGACTTCAGTCCAGTGATGTTTTTCCTATGATAGGGAAAGCAGGGACCATATTTTTTCCTCAGCCAATTAAAGCAATTAAAGTAATCACTTTACCAAACCCAATCATATGAAACATTCAATTTAATCATCACAGCGTGACTTTTAAATGAATAAAACAGCATCTCTTCCTTTTTTCCAGAGGCAGCATTATAGAATGAAAGGGCACAAAACCATTATATGTCAGAAATCATGACATCTGATATCTTTACCTGAATTTTCTCATTTATAAAATAGAATCAATAACATTTATTATTTCCCATGGCAGGGCTTTTTAGGTACATGTCAAGGCACTTTGAAAACTGTACTATTATTTTTTAAACTTTTGAAGTCCCTTCACTCCAATTACAATTCCTTCATCAGCTTAGACACTTTTCAGGATGTTAGGAGAGCAAATATATTACACTTGCTCAGGAATACTTTCCACACTTAACTAAAATCTCTTGAATTCATAGATCCGGAAAGAGAGCTTCGGGAGAACGTGCTCTCTTTGGGCAGAGTGAGATGAGCTGCTGTCGTGTCAGGGCGTGGGGGAATGTCTGGGCCGCTCGGAGTCCTAAGTGGCCCTCACTGGGCACCTCCGAGTGAGGGGAGGTGTCTGGGGCTCAGTCTGCTGGCTCCGTGTTGGGGCCCTGGGTGGCAGTTCCTGGGCTCAGAGACCAGAGCACAGTCTGATGCAGCCAGTTAGCTATGTTCTTTAGAAGCTTTAAAAAAAAAAATGGCCTCCTCAATAAATTTTAAAACTGTGGAAGGATCTAGACAGGTTACAGAGGAGGAAGTAATAAAAACGTTGGGCAGTTCAACCTGAATAACCCTGCCCACTTGATAGGTGATCAAAGAAACTCAGGTTGAAAGCAGTTACCCTTTTTACGCTATCCAGCTGGAGAACATTTTTTCAGAACATTCAAGGTGAGCGTTGGTGAAGGTGAAGTGAGACAGACACTGGTGGGGAGGTGTACACTGGTACAGCTTTTCTGCAAAGATATTGGGAGGTATGTTTGGGGGGGAGCCTTACGATTATGACCTTAGAGCCCCTATTTCCAATTACAGGATGTTTTCTTGTGGAAATAGTAAGAGTTGTAGGTCATAGAATGTTTATCTGTGGGAATATTATGGTGTTAATCATAATTGCAAAATACTATAAACAACTTAAATGTTCAAGAACAGGGAAATAGTTAATAAATTATTCAACAGTATGGTGGAATATGGGATATAATCAGCCATTTAAAGTTGTATATTTCAGTAACATTGTAATGATAAGAAACATGTTAATGAGGATGAAAGTGGGATGCCAGCCTGCTTGCTTATAATTTATAGGTAACTAGGAATAAATGTCTCTGTATCTCAAGCTGGTCGTAATCATCTTTGGGCAGAGGAATTATTTTCTGTATACTTTTATTTTCCAACATTTTCTACAGTATGAATATATCTTTTTATAATCAGAGAAACAGTACTTGAAGAAAATTCAGGGGATGAGAATGTCTTCATTAAATTCTTTTAAAATGTAAAATGAAATTTTAAGGTATTAAAGTATAAGGTATTACAAATAAGAGGTAAGTACCATTTCAGCAGATGAATGAATAAGTTAGGCAGACTGCCAAGAGGTTATTGATTTTAAGAGAAAAAATGATAAGCCACTGTGGGTAATATTCACATTTTTCTGGCAGTTATAAAGAAACCACTGATTTTCTAAAATAGCAGGTGCTGAATTGGGAGAACTCTAGAGAAGTTTTATTTCATCACTTAATTTTTACATAATGACTGTATTATAAAGTGAGGAAACTTAAAATTTCAGATAGAGAAATTTATTTCTGAGTATCACAAAATTTTGGTATTTGTGGAAAAGATTTAATAACTGCTGGGTATAAATACCTGATTGATTTACTTTGAGGAGTGCATATTCTTAATCAGCATTCTGAATTAAATGGGGGCTGTTCAGATGGATCGTTTTACGTAAGTTTTAAATATTTATGATCAGACTGATGCCAGAGAAAGTACAGCATCTTGAGTATGCTTATGAAACACTGAACTCCTGCATTTTATTTTACAGTGTAGCTCTCGCAATATATTACCACATCAAAAACAGGTATGTGGATTTTGTTTAATTTTGTGCTGAAAACATCACACATTATCTACTGTGACATTTTTCCTATTGCGTTCTAGTTGCCTCAGCCTTTGAGTTTTGTATTCTTATCTCACTTTCATAGAATCTGTAAAGGTTAGGGTTACCCACACCTCCCAGAGAATTACTGAACTGCTTCTGAGTCAGAGGAAACCAAATGAAGTCAGCAAAAGAGAACAGTTTCTTGACAGTATTCACCTCTTCTTGACTTTATTTTCTGTGTCATTCACTTAAACATTCTGTCTTTTATAAAATATCTTAACAAGTTTCTGTGTGCAGCTTTCACATGAAAAAGAAGTTTATAGTTTCAATTCAGTAGAAACAGTTTTGTTGTAAAGTTAGTCATAAACTCTTTTAAGGTGGTAGAAATCCTCTGTGATGGGAGACAGTTCAGTTAATTTTAGAAGTGAATTGAAACCCGGAATCATGGAAAAATCATATAAGAAGGTACTTGTTCTGCCAGTTCTCTTTTGTCTTTTTGTAGACAGTAAGTCATAGAGCAGAAACTGTGGTGTGTGCCACGAAGGGTGCATGTCAGAGACAGATCTGCAGCTTCTAATAATTGCGAGCCTAACTGATGTTGGAATGTTACGTGTTGTTACCAAAGCAGCAGTTTCCAAAGAAATTTTTTAGACAACACTCAAGTGACATAAGCCTGGTGGAAGCAGAGCCGTCACTAGCGGGGTGTGGCCCCCCAGAGCCCAGCACCCCCTCTGTCTGTGTTCACAGAGAGAGCCGCCCCTTTAATGGGCCTGTGCAGGTACCGGCGTGGTAACAGCCAGGTACACTTTTCTACATGCCCCCTGTTGTTTCTCAGTATTGAGGCTTGGGGCTTCCCTGGTGGCTCAGTGGTAAAGAATCCGCCTGCCAGTGCAGGAGAGACAAGTTTGATCCCTGATCCAGGACGATTTCGCATGCTGCAGAGCGGCTAAGCGCCTGCGCCACAGCTTCTGAGCCTGTGCTCTGGAGCCCAGGAGCCGCCACCGCTGAGCACATGAGCCGTCACTGCTGAAGCCCGTGTGCCTGGAGGCTGTGCTCTGCACAGCAGCTAGAGAAAAGCCCATGCAGCAGCGAAGACCCAGCACGGCCAAAGATAAATAAATAAAGTTATTTTTTAAGAGTACAGTCGTGAAGCCCCTCATTAGTGAAGTGGTTAAGCTGCATGCTGTGAGAATTTCAGACTAATCTCCAGGACATACCCTCAGACTTCTTTTGTGTTGACCACAACATAGTGATGGTTTAAACAGATCTGTCAAACTTTGCTCAGAAACAAGATGTTAAAGAAATTTAGATTTGGTGCATTTGAAAACTCAAGAAATGAAAATCTTTGATTTTTACTTTACTAAGTGGGGTTCATAACCTTTATTTTATGGACTATTCGAAAGTGATTAGGTATTGTCCCCAAGAAAAACAAATTATAATTCATGAATAATCAGTAGCATTTCTTAACACTACTGCCTCTGTTTCTTGAAGTAACAGTTGAATCAGAACATATTTTGTTTTCATTTTGACTGGCACTCTGTTACAGAAGGGAAGCTCCATTTTCTATTACTTTCCTCCCCAGGGACCCAGATGGAAGGATGCTCTTGGATATTTTCGATGAAAACCTTCACCCTCTCTCGGTAACCCTCCCCTTGGGCCCCAGGGTGTGGTCCAGCCATGTTCCTGTGGCTCCTGTGGGGCAGCTAGTCATTGAGAATGTCTCCCTCCCCAGAAATCCGAAGTGCCACCAGATTACGACAAACACAACCCAGAGCAGAAGCAGATCTACCGGTTTGTGCGGACGCTGTTCAGTGCCGCTCAGCTGACTGCAGAGTGTGCCATCGTCACCCTGGTGAGTGCCCACNGGCGGCTAGTCATTGAGAATGTCTCCCTCCCCAGAAATCCGAAGTGCCACCAGATTACGACAAACACAACCCAGAGCAGAAGCAGATCTACCGGTTTGTGCGGACGCTGTTCAGTGCCGCTCAGCTGACTGCAGAGTGTGCCATCGTCACCCTGGTGAGTGCCCGCAGGGTGACATGGCCAAGAGCGGGGTGCAGGCGGGGATGTCCACTGTAGACTGGGAGCCCAGCGCCACCTCGGGGTTGTCTTTTATCCGGAGTAGCCACTGATCTCCCAAAAGAGGGCATGTGGTCTGTTCCGCAGTCCCACCTAACGCCCCTTGTCAGATCACACTCAGAAGCAGGAATGCTGAAACGACCCAAGCAGGTGAGTGGGACCCAGGGCCCACAGCGCTGAGAAGGACCAGGGCCGCCTCAGTGATGTCCAGGTTTCTGGACTGCTGTCATTGCTGCCTTCTCTTCTGTGATTTTTGTGTAAATATATGTCTGTAAGATACTCAGAGGCAGCATGGACATAATAGGCACATTGACTCAAGTTAAGAACCTGTAGCCTTACTTAGATTCTTAAAACCTTAGGGATGGATGATTTAGCTCCGATCTCATTGGGGAAGTAGCTTTCACAGCAGCGCTGTCACTGACCTTTCACACTGTGAACCACTCAGATAAGAAATGGCCTCCGCCAGGGCGTGGGCTGCCCCGTGGGCCTGGGCAGGTCCCTGAGAAGAGGCCCTGTGGTGTGACGACGTGTGTGTGGACCGACGTGTGTGTGGACCGTCCACATCTCCACCACACTGAGAGCCCCGTGTTCTCAGCTGAAGGCACAATGACCCGTTTGCTTGTGCATTCCTTCTCTCATGGAATTTGTCCCCTGACAGGTGAACAGACATCCAGCGAGTCTTCCGGCGATGTGGCGCTGATAGACGCTTAGGTCATGACTGAGAAGCATATTTATGGCTCAGCTTTGTTTCTCCAAAGGATGTCAAACCCTCAAAAAACACCCTCCAGGCGGCAGGGTTGACGTTTTGATGAAGGGAGATAGTGACAAAGGGGGAAGAAGGGGAAGAAAATCAGATAATGAGTACTTAAGTTGACGCCCTGAGGAAAGATTTACTTTGAAGCTCCTGCTCCAAGATGCAATGTGGTGGGGTTTTTTACTTCCATTCTGAAGAAAATGGTGACTTGACTTTGCCCTGTAGCACCTTCGAGTTTGGATTTATCAGTGTGAAGAAGCTTCGTGTCCTGTGAAAGGCGTAGTTTCTGCAGAGACTTCTGTTGAGGATGTGTAGAGTGTGTTCCCGTCTCCGAGCAGACGTCTGTCTTGGGAGTGCTGTGGGAGTGGTGTGTGTCTGTCAGTCGTGGGAGCTGCTGAAATCCTCCCTTGTCCTGGGACAAGGTGGCTGGGGCTTAGCGGGAGATGAGCGTCTCTAGCTACATCTGACAGTGGGCAGCGTCGGGGCCCTCCCAACTGGCACAGATCTGCAGACTGATTCTTGATCCTCCAGGGTCTGCTTGGTTGGCCCAGGCAGCCAACTGTGTGTTCCGAGCGAGCCCTGTGTGTGATGGTCCCACCCGTCTCTCCAGGTTCGCAACAACCCTTCACAACAGGTCTGGGCTAGAGCTGGCAGGCTGCATCCCTCTCTGCCTTTCTCCTGGGCCTCCCTTGGTGGCCTGGCCCATTGCCTGGAGGAGGCAGGGAGGACCACAGTTAGCTCTGCCCTACTGCCCGCAGAGAGCCAGACCGCTGCCCGCCTGTGGGAGGCAGGGCCTTCAGCCACTTGCTGCTGTGTGTGTCCGGGAGCACCAGGCTTGCCAGCCCATCTGGGTCCCCCCGGCGGCCTTGAGGACTGTCACTCGGCCCCAAAGTGCCTCTCAGGCCGGTGCTCTGGTGAAGAGGCCACCTGTGGAATCTATCCATTCTGACCCCAGAGACCCCCTTTTTAGGGCACATTAGTGATTTCTACCGAGGTCAGAAGCGTCAGATACAGTCCAGTGAGGAATCCACCTTCCTCAAATATTAGCAAGTAGGAAGCACTGGGGAGGCCCACAGTCAGCTCAGCTGTGGGTAAGAGTCTGCAGTGAACGAACCCAGTGCTGCTGTCTGTGATGGACAGGGAAACCCAGCATCCTCGAAAGTGTGGTCCCGTGTACCCTGGAGTCCGTGAGTTGGCACTTTCTCCCTCCTCTCCTTCCCCACACCATGCCTTTGAATAGCTTTATTTTGTACAGTCACCTGAACGCTCTGTAAGTGCTCACTAACCTGTATTTTCTAGAGACTCTCAGGATGGTCCTTCTTATGAAATTAAATCTGAAAATTTAACTGAGCAGCAGTGTCCTATTAGCAATGGTGTAGGGAGTGGTGTTCAGAAAAAATCAATCGTATATTATTTTACTTGGCAGAAAATTAAAATACCCAAGTGGAAGTTTACTAAAGAAATTACAGCTGACTGTTGAATATAGCTTTCTTGGCAAGTTCTGCTAAATTACATGCTATTATGTGGTGCTTATTATGAATTCCTTCTCCCCAAATATAACATCTGCTTCCCTCGGTAATGGAGTGTGTTACCATATCTAATTTCTCTAGTTCATCTTAGTGGAATATCAGATGTGATAGATGCCTGTTTTTTTCAAGCATCTTAAATATTACCTAGTGTGCCTATTAATATCTATCTACTGTGGTTAAGTAAGAAGAAAACTGAGTAGCCTTCTTTTTGTACTGAGTCAGTGAGAAGCTATTTCATTGGGGGGGGCTTGGAGAGGTTTACATAGCTTGTTTATATAAAAGAATAGCGTCTTAGGGATCTGGTTGAAGAGTGTTGATAGTGATTGTTTAAAAAAATCTGGAGTTAGATCCAGCCTCAGTTTTCTGCTCTTAGTACAGTTTTGTGGCACATTTTAAAAAATTATTTTCTTGGTGGAATGAGAAGAGGTAGTCATCAACCTTTGTAACATACATAGTCTGGGCTCCTGAGGTCAGTGTCCAGTTAAAATTCCACTCAGCCTGGCCTGGATCTCTCACTGAAGAATTTCAGTTTTCACACAAAAATAATGATCTAAAACATTAGCTTACTCTTCCTGCTCCTTGAATGAAATAAATGCCATTAAAAACTAAAATCTGACCAATGGAAAAGATGATTGAACTCTGCTGAGTGACCTACTTCTTTTCACCAGTGGTTGTCACAGCCCAGTGCCGTTCTGTCCCTGAGAGACATTGGAGTGCCCCGAAGGTCCGTAGAGAACGGGTGGCAGGCACGTGTCATGACCTCAGAGGCCTCTGTGAAGGCCTCTCAGATGTTCTGTGCTGAGCACCCCGAGTGGACTCGCCCCCGAGCGGTCTCCTCTGACCCCCCGTTCCCCGCGCACCTGTCTCTCAGTCCAGGGCTTGAGTTTCCCACTGCCTCTGACCGCGGCTCCTTCCTGAACGCCATTGCTGTGGTCATCTCATCCACTCAGGCCTCCCTAGACCTGCTCTCCTGTAGCCGCGTCCCACACCCAGAGCTTGTCCTTCCCGCAGCGTCCTGTGTCCCTGAGGCCAGCACGCGGGGGCCACTCCCTGACCCAGCCCCGTGCTGGACGCTGGGCACACGGTGGGAGTGAGGCCCGGGCGTGGTCCTCAGGGGACTGTGGCTTCCTTGGAGGAGAGACCGGAGGAGGGCAGCTACCCTGCCGGGGGAGAAACGCAGCCACAGACCAGGGTGGGGCAGTAAGGTGGACGTGATTGCTTCNGGGCACACGGTGGGAGTGAGGCCCGGGCGTGGTCCTCAGGGGACTGTGGCTTCCTTGGAGGAGAGACCGGAGGAGGGCAGCTACCCTGCCGGGGGAGAAACGCAGCCACAGACCAGGGTGGGGCAGTAAGGTGGACGTGATTGCTTCTTGTTTGATCACCAGGGCCTCTTGGCAGCTCATTGGGTATGGCTGTTTTGTCTCTGTGATTACATTGGTAGTTTCTTTCTCATGATTTTTATTTTGTCTTTCATACTGTGCCCCTCATCCGGTCTGAGTACCTGGTATCTGAGATCAGCCATAAAAATCCTGCTTTTTAAGATGGAAAGAATTGACTTTTCACTAGTAAAGCGCTGGAAGCAGAATGAGAACTTTTTAAGCAAAAGAACCCTCATTCGCCTTTTGCTGACTTAGCAGACAGTTAGTGCCGGCCCCCACCTTAAGAGGCACAGAGCTCCTGTTGAGCGGCAGAGGCAGACAGGCTGGTGGCCCCGCTCCGCCTCCCTGTGGCTTCCCCGCCTGGGCCCCCGTTCACAGGCCGCAGGCCCCACAGGCCGGCCGCAGAGGCCATCGGGGGCCCGCTGTGCTTTGGGAGGGAGCTTGACCCTGCCTCTGCCTGTGGTTCAGGGACGGAGGGGCCGGTGTGCTCGTGTCTTCCAGGTGTACCTGGAACGGCTCCTCACATACGCAGAGATTGACATCTGTCCGGCCAACTGGAAGCGGATTGTTCTGGGGGCCATCCTGCTGGCCTCCAAGGTGTGGGACGACCAGGCGGTGTGGAACGTGGACTACTGCCAGATCCTGAAAGACATCACGGTGGAGGACATGTGAGTGTGGGCGTGCGCGGCATGGAGTGAGTGACCGCAACTGTGTGTCTGTCGTGAGCTGGCCGAGCAAGGACACGGCTGCGGGCAGGATTTACAAAACCGTACGTCTCGTCCTGTGGGTCCCAGACAGGTACTGGTTACACTTCCTGGCTTGTGAGTCTAGTCTCTGAAACCATGTCCAGGGAACCGTCCTTTCCCTTCCTGCTCCCCGTCTGCGGTGGGGTTCATCCCCACCGTGCACCCACTGCAGACGGACGACAGGCAGCAGACGGGCTGCAATGCGCCCTGCCGCTTCAGTTTGAGAGAGATTTTCGCTGCTCTTGTCCCGTGTTGCAAGTTCAGTTGGCTTCACGTGAACTCTCCATCTCTCAGGGCCCTCCTGTGTGTCCTGATCGGGCCGCTTCTCTCTCGGGGCACCGTCCTGGGTTTACCTGCAGCCCAGGGCCCGGGGTCCCTGGGGCTGGGTGTACAGGAAGTGGGGTCAGGACGAAAGGAGCTGCTTTGGAAACAATCAGGATGAGCTTCTGCGTTGCTGACCCAATTCTTACATTTTTCTCATCTTGTTTGTCCGGCATCCTCAAGGCACCTCTTGCTAGAGGAGGTTCCACTGTGTCCCAGCCCCCATCCGTGTCCCTGGACCCTGTGACCATTGAGTGCTCCTCCCCAGCCTGTCCCCTTCTTCCGGTTGCTGGCTGGCTGGGCACCCCCCTTTTTGCTGCCCTGGGGACACTTGTTTATGTTCTTGAATCTTTTGCCACAGAGCCTTTTCCTACTACAGACCAGTAAGACTCCTTCCTGCACCTGTCATTCCTTATCCTTAAAAAGTAAGAAAAATACGAAGTTTTTGATATCAAGAAAAAGAAAATTTAAAAAAAAATTTTAAGTCTTGATTTTATTTCAAGCAGAAAACAGTTATTAAGAGAATTGTCATCCAGACTATAAGTTGGTCGCTTCCACCTTTTGGCTGCTGTGAATAACTCTGCTGTAAACGTGAACACGAGTGTGCAAATTCCTGCCTGAGGCCCTGCTCTCTGTTCTTTGGAGTCTGTGCCCAGGAGTGGGATTGCCACTTAGTAGCTGGTCTTTAAAGTGGGCTCATTTTTCTAGAAAAGTCGATAGGCCATGAGGTGATGAAAACAACTCTCTTTCCTCCATTGGAGAGCCCCATTCAGAAGTTGCTAAGTGGCATCAGTTCAACTGGGTTTCTTTACAGTGATGACCTAATGTAACAGATACTTCTGAAATGTTTTCGGTTAATTGGCTTGAATTTATTTATTATAAAGTTTTACATCAGAACTATTTACTGGTAATTAGGCTTCCCAGGTGGTGCTAATGGTAAAGAATCCACCTTCCAGTGCAGGAGACGAAAGAGACTCAGGTTCGATGTCCTGCGGAAGATTCCCTGGAGAAGGAAATGGCAGTCCACTCTAGTATTCTTACCTGGAGAATCCCATAGACAAGGAGCCAGGCGGGCTAAAGTTCATGGGGATGCAGAGAGTCAGATACAACTGAGCAACTAAATGCACACACACACACATACACACCCCCTTGAGAGTAGCAAATCCATCAAACTCATTCCCTCTGCATCACTGTTAGTTTTCTGATGATTTATCATATAACAAGCTGTCAGATTTCCCTGGAGGAGGTACTGCTATCGTTTGGAAATTCAAAGTTGGGGAATTATTTTTATTTTGTAAATACTGCCCAAGTTTGAAAACACAGCCACTCTAAAATCTTTTTTTTCCCCCAAAACTTAAGCAGAAACATTTAAAAAATAAATACTCAGAAAGGCCGTTTTTCCCTTAAGGAACCTGGGGAAACTGCCACCTTGTTTGAAACCAGATCCTCTCGACTTTAATCCTGGTTATACCCTCAACAAAAGGCAGTGGTGTCTAGATACCATCTGGGGTGGGAATAGCTTCCTGGCTCTCTTACTGGTTTTCTTCCTGGCATTGGAGCATGGGGTCTGCAGTGGCACCACTTGGCCACTAGGAGGCAGTGTGTCCACAGGCAGCTCCCAAGTCTTGTTAAGATCCTACCTGGATTCTTGCATTTCACAGGATGATCTCCTAAGTCTGACTTGAAGCAGGCATAAATAAAAGTCATTAGAAGTGTAAATTTTGACATAACATACACATTTGGGGCTTAACTCCTTTCTCAAAGCTGCATGGAAGCAGCCCCTCTGATTAGATGAACTGAATTCGATGTCTTGGTCTTTCCCTCCAAAGCGCTCAGGCCTTTGATAACAACTTGCTGAGGTTTCTCAGTTATCTTTTGCCTGGGAGCTGCTGTCAGGGAACTAGCCACTACTGCCTCCCAGACTTAGCTCAGCTGTCACTTCCAGGAAGCTTTCCCTGATTCCTCCACCCAGGCTGAGCTTGGTCCGCTCCATTCAGTAATTAATAACAGTAATTATTGAGCACCAGCTGTGTGTCAGGTGCTGTGCTGGGGCCAGGCTGCAGTCAGATGTCATGGTTTCCGGCTCGGAGGAGAGGAGAAGGGGAGACTGTGATAAAGGACAGAAGTGAGTCCAGAGTGCTGCCCCGGGGGGTGGCCTAGAGCTGAGAGTCTGGCCCGGGACCAGTGCTGACAGACAGACCTGTCCCTGAGGATGCTTCTCCCCAGGCAGTGACTACCAAGAGGTAGGCCTGCTGATAGCCGATGTTTTACAATGTGTTCTGGCCTTCATCCAGCTATAAGTGGGTTGGCTCCTTTATGGACCAGGCGCTGTTATCCAGGTTTTCAGCAGGAGGGCAGGCTCAGCAGCAGGAGCATATTAGAGGTGCATGTTCTTGGACCCACCCAGACCTGTCAAATCATGGGGTGGCCCAGCTGTGGGTGCTCACAAACCCTGCGGGTGATGGGTTAGGGTGGGTGGCTGGGTGCATGCTGGGACTGATGGTCTCCTCCCTCCTCTCTCGTGGTCCTGAGGAAGCTGCTCATCGCTTCCCCACCCTTCCCTCCCAGCAAGGTGATCCTCTGGGTCTCGGAGGCCTGTCGTTTAGGCAGAGTCCAGTCTCACTGGACTGTTTGACAGCTTCTAACTATGTCTTCTGCCCCCTGTTTGATGGCTCATGCGGTGAGGTGAGGCCAGAGCCTGCTGCATGCGTATGTGTGTGTACACACACGTGCGCTTGGTCTCAGTGTTGGGGTCACTCTGAAGCACTTCCTGGTACTGATCATCCCAGTTCATCAGGCCTCATCCTTCCCGGCACTGGATCAGATGGGCTTGGCTTTTATTGCCAATTTGGTGGTGAGATGGCAACTCTGCGTCCAAGCAGGCTGCTGGAGAGATGGCTCTTGTCCCTGGAGGGTGCCAGGCAGCCTGTGTCGGGCAGGCTGCCTGGGCCATCCACGGTGGGGACAGTGGCCGAGCTGTGCATTTCTGTCTTCCTCTGCAGGAACGAGCTAGAGCGACAGTTCCTTGAATTGCTCCAGTTCAACATCAACGTTCCTTCCAGTGTTTATGCCAAGTATTATTTTGATCTTCGTTCTCTGGCGGAAGCCAACAACCTGAGCTTCCCCTTGGAGCCCCTGAGCAGAGAGAGGGCCCACAAGCTGGAGGTAAGAGGCGCCGGCGTCCCGCGAATGCACTCCTGGGGCAGAGCTCTGTGCTCAGGCCGGTTCCTGCCACTGCCAGTCATCGTAAAATAAGGGCCAGATGACCTGGATTGCATTGGTACAACCTCATACTTTGAATAACTGTCTCAGTACTGGTTTTTATTTAATGTGCATTGATTCTGTTTTTTAAATCAAATAAGTTTTTTAAAGCCCCTGTTTTAAACCAGCATGCTTTATAAGGGAAAAGATACCAGATGACCCTATGATTGGCAGTCCATAAAGGTTTGAGTCTGCTTTTATTTTTCATTTTTTAAAGTGTTTTCTCCACAGCCTAGTCAGAGCTCCAGCCAGCCGGGTTGGTCTTGACCTGGGTTTAGGGCCGTCATTGTGAAGCTGTGTGACACTGTGTCTTAGGTACAGCTCGGCTTTGCACTTGCTCTGGGCTCTTCCCACCTGACTTTTGGCGGCTGCAGGTGTGGGGAGGAGAAGGCTCACGGGTCAGAGTCGTCTTCCAGGGGAGGTGCAGGGCCCTTAGCACCTTCATCCCGAGCGTCCTCAGTGTCGAGGACGGTGCTGGCCCACTGCGAGGATGGAGGTGTGGCCAGGATGCTGGCCCGGGGCTGATCTGAGTGTCTCTCTCTGCCCCTCAGGCCATCTCCCGCCTCTGCGAGGACAAGTACAAGGACCTGCGAAGACCCACGAGGAAGCGGTCAGCGAGTGCTGACAATCTGACTCTGCCCAGGTGGTCCCCGGCCATCATCTCCTAACCGTGGGCGTCCCTGCCGGAGGCCGTGCCATCCCTCAGTTTCTCCTTTAGTTCGAGAAAAGACAGACGTGGGGTGGTTTTGTTTTGTTTCCTCTCCTTTTCTTTTTAATTCATAGCTCCGCCAGGCTGCCTTGATGAGCGCCTCCAGGCTGCGCGCATGCGCAGCAGGGCTCCGAGGACACGAAGTCGGTGCCATGGGATCCCGTCCATGCCTTCCCAGCCCCGGGTCAGCGCTTCCTTCGTGGAGGAAAAAGACTCTAACCCTGGAGGAGGCAGGGAAGGGACGGGAAGTCGCACAGAGGCAGGGAGAGCAGCTTGGCCTGGTTCCTAAGTCCCCGTCGGTAACCGAACCAACCCGACAGGAGAGCCCGGCGTAGGTGACATTTAAGTTGGATGCGCATTAAAGGCGTTCACCACCCCACCCGGATCAGTATGTCCCGTTAAGACTTCTTGCATTCCTTCTTGCTGCTTCTCGGGGATTTGGGGGGGATTTTTGTTTGTTTTATTCTGTTTTGGTTTTGGTCCCACAGAGCAGAGAATATAGTTTGTACCCACCATGGCACAGACATCCAAATAAATAGCACTGGCTGTTTCTCTCTGCACCACTCCTGCGAGCTGTCTTCTGAGCTTTCTTGCTCTCCAGGGGGAGCACTTGTCACGTCTCTGCGCACCTTTATCCTAGATGGTTTTCTCCACAGTGGCGGAATCAACTTGACTGTAGTGCTGAACCAGACGACTCCCTTCCCCCAGCTCCTCCCCCAGGAACATTCTAGATCACTTGGGTGCTTGTGCCTTCTGATCCTGCGGTGGTCTCTCTCTGCCTGCCCCAAGGGGCAGCCCCTTCCCTGCCCTGCCCACCCCACTCCTCTACTTCCACGTCCATTGTGCAAGCAATATTCCTCTCAACTTTTATATGTTTACTTCAAATCAAAGTTAGTCTATTTGTATAAAAATTTTTTAAAAATCTAAAATTTAAAAAAAAGGGGGTGGGGGTGGGTATTCACATGGAAGATCACTGAAGGGCAAAATGTTCCTATTTACTGAGGTATTTTTCACAGAATGATTGAATAAAAAACTCGACTTGCATTTTCATTGTGGGTGCTTAGTGAAGTTATATGAAACTAAAACTGTGAAGGTTTATGCGTCATTAACTATGACCGTCCTTTATCATTTCTGACTATTCTTCATTTCCTTATGGGCTAGATGAAAAGCTTTTACAGCAAGGAAGATTAAGGGTTAATGACAGGACCTCGCAGTTAAGTGCAAGAATCTGGGTCAGTGAAGCATACAGTGCTTTGGGGTTTGCACATTTTCTCGGTCACAATAACAGAAGTTTCTAAGTTTTTCCTTCATCAGGTCTTTGAGGCAAATGGCAGTAGATAAATCTGTGTTTTACCACCCTCCTGTGTGAGCTTGGAAAACTCTGGAATCTTATGTTATTTGTCTTGTGCCCTGAACTCATATACCTGCTCCCCAGACATGCCTGCCCTGAGGAGACATGCTTCTTCAGTGGGAGGGACTCAGAAGCACCCAAGCAGCCCATGAACACGAAGCCCAGTGCTAGTCAGATGGCCCTGAGGTTTGTAGCATGTGTAAACCCAACTGTGTGGGCCAGAAACACTGTCAGATTCTTTCTGGCTTAAACTTTCAAAAGCAAACAAGCGGAATATGAAAAGTTAATTATCTTTCCATTGTAACTGTGTATCAATATACTCCATATGGGTTTCAAAATCAGCTGCTCTCTTCAAGTAAGATTTGGATTTAGAACATGAAATAGAGACCCCCCCAAAATGTAGAAAATACCATTTTATATTCCCTAAACTATATAGCTTAAAAAGGGACATATTTTCTTAGCTGACTATGAATACCTCTCAAATAAATTAGTTCCTCCCATGTAGAGTATGTTACTTTACCGATCCATTTCAGGAAAGAGGTTTTGCTGCCTTTCAAGCAGACATCTTATTTTTATCCCTTTTATTTGAATGAGAGATTTGAAAATTGAATTATGTAAATATTTCAATGCATCTGCTATTATTTTGTGGAGTTTATTAAACTACTTTAAAAAATTGTATAGTCTATTTATTTATGTATGTACATACAGTCTGCTAACTTAAAGTTTAAAGTGGATTCCGTAAAACCTGACTCAGTCTTGTTTAGACTATTGAATATTGTTTTAGCCTTGTGCACTGGATTCTACCTCTGTATAGGAAAATTTTCCATATTCCTGAGCATCGATCTGTATTAACTGGTTATGTTTCTTGCACTAAGGATTTTTAAAACTCTGCTGTAAGTATAGATTTCAGTTTTACTTTTGCAGAATGGTTCCCTTGACATGAAGATAATTTAGGTTGGGTTTATTTTTCTACATGATGAAGAAGACATTACGTTCTCTGGTTTGTTCTAAGTTTGCAAAAAAAAAAAAAAAAAAGCCCGTCAACACCCAATACAGTACCTATTGATAAATCATGGTGATGTAATTTGTTTGCAAGGTGGTTCATGCCCTACAATTAAAGCCGGATTGCTATTTAGGAATACATTGTCTTAGTGTAGTTTTTGAACGGGCAGTTTTCATCGTTAATGAAGGGTGAAGAAAACCACACAATTTATTGCCTTTAAGTTTAGATTTGACTTAAGGTTATTTGGGAGAATAAGTATGCCAATGAATTTTCCCTTTTTGTTTTAGCCTTTTTTTCTTTTAAACTGGGGAGAGGCAAAAAAGTCAGGGATTTAAGACCAACTGGAGGGCGAGATGGGAGGTCCTGCCAAGATCCCAGACATCGCTGTGCCTTAAATGCACCCACTGGGGCCGTCACCTGGCCCCTCTCCGGGTGGCCCACCCGCACCACCCCCAAGCTGCTCCTCTTGGTCTTTGGCAAGACCACCTCTGCCCCGGGCTTTCCCTTGGGTCTAGGGGTTTCGATGCTTGGCCGAGCTGCAGAGCAGAATTTGCAGTGAGTGATTTTGATCCTTCCAGGCTTTTTTTGGTCTCTTCTCTGGTGGGGTCTTTTTTTAGCTTTTTTGATTTTTTTCAATTCTTGGTTGTTTGTTGTTGGTTCTTAAGTGTTAAATAAACACAGAGACCAAATAGTGCTTGCCTTCCTGCTGCATTTTTTGAATATGACATTGAGATAGAATTGAACTGGTTTTGAGGATGCTGAGTGAAGCAGTTCTTTTCTACATGATGAAAAGCAGTGGAGAGTATTATGGGTTCTATAGGTGTTAAGTGATCCTCAGAAGGACTGGATCTTCTTCATCCGCTTTGACTTCACTAGAATTAGCATCTCAAGACTCCCAATGGGTGGACTGTGGCAACACGGGTTGTCTTCTGAAAGACCAGCCACAGGAGCCCTTCCCTGCCCTTGTTGAAAAAGAGAAGGAAGTAGGGAATGTACCCTCAAGTGAAAGGGGAACAGGATACTGAAGGATTAATTTGGAACTCTGTGAATTACAAGGAAGGCCCCGCACACAACTGCCTTCAGTTCGTGACTGGGGAGTCCTGAATGCCAAGCCTTCCTAGCCCCACTGCACTGGAAACAAACCAGCGGCCCCATCCCCAGTAGGGAGGTGAGCAGGGGCTTGCAGTCACCAAGCTACTGGACTCAGACTAGAGTGGGGTAGCGGCTTCCTTCCACTTCTTCCTGGTAGGTTTCTCACTAACTTTGCATGTCTGGAACTGCTCAAGTTCAGTTGTGTCATTTTCCATAAGAAACGTTCATCTCTGATTTGAAAGGGTCATGGGAGGCATTGTCTGCATCGCTGTGAGTCTAGGCCGTGGGTCAGACTGGGTGGTCCTGGTGCCCACAATGCCCATCATAGGTCTTTGCAGCAAGAATTGTGGAGGAGCCTGTGTCCTTTAGGGACTTGGTCTGGGTAGAGAACTTTATTCCTTAAAGAGCTTTGTTTAAATAGAATCCAGGATAAAAGAATGGCATTCCAAAAGAACTGCCGTTATGGGCAAAAATATTAAATGTAACTAGAACTTAGGCATAACATTTATATTAATGTCATTCATTTATACTGTAACAGAACATTGGGTTTCAGTCTCTGCCCAAAGTGAACTTGCTGTGACCTTGGACAGGTTCCATCACCTCTCTGGATCACTCAGCAAACTTCACTGGCAAGAGATTGACTTGTTCGTGTTTTCTCCACCTGTCTTACTCTGTTTCTAAACTCACACTGCTCAGCCATTCTTGCATTATGATTGTTGGATGCTGCTCTGCACGCATGTAGGAAGGCTGGACCCACTGAAAGACAAATCCAAGCTCATCTGTGAGTTTCCCCAGGGAAATCAGTTGTCCCTTTCAGGGCCAGGGTGGAAGAAGGGTGGGCATCAGCAGATATGGCCGTTCTTAGGAGGAGGATGTGGGTATCTAGAATTCAGTTGCTGCCCCTCCTCCCCAGGTTTGCCCTAATGCAACTGAATCCTCAGCTTGTCCAGTTGGGTTTTCTGGACCTTTGGTTCTTTTCCACATTGATGGACAATGAAAATCTTGCAACAGAGAAGTTGGGTATAGGAATCCTCCCCAGTGGTTGTCTCGAGAAGGGTGCTGCCTCTTGGGTTAACTCCCAAGTAATGCTTATCCTCCTTAGACCTGCAGACCCAAAGCTCTGGGGGCCACCATGAAGGAGAAGGGCTTCCTTCCCCCTCCTCTCCCGTGACGCTTCCGTGGAACTCGGCAAGTTGCAGGCTTCTCAGATCTGCCTCTGTTCAGCAGCTCTTGGGTCTACTGCAAAGGACTTGCATTTCGTGGGGGGGATGGGGGGGCGGTGTGTGTGAGTGCGAAGAGTTGGGGTCCACTCCAAAGAGAAGT